GATCCACCCTTATTTTTTTTAAACAATTTTTTATTTTTATTTTTTTATCATAGAAAAATACATACTACCCTAAATTTTCACCCTTCTACCACCAACCCCTATTTTTTTATGGCGGTACGAAGTTCGTTGGAACAGCTAGTCTTGAAATAAATCTTCTCGTTTTGAAGACGTATGCAAACTCAGGGAAACAATAAACTTAATCTCGAAACTAATTAGCACACAGAACAAAAGGTACGTTTATGACAGAATCACTAGAGTCAATTTAAATCTCTAGATAAGATTAACTCGCCGCTTAGTTTAGCTCGTTTATTAGGTAATAACGAGTCTCAAAATAAAAAAGATACAGAAGACCAGCTCCATAGGAACGAGTTTCTTTTTTTATTTATTTAGGATAACAAACAACTGTGCAATATTGTACGTAATGTAGTAACACTAATAAATACATTGATGTCATTACACAACCAACACCGTTATCCACTAAAAATATAACACAACACAGAGATTATATTTTTATAAAACATGATAAGTTTGCAATATCTATTCTACTTGCAAATCGATGGTATAACTAAAGCAAAAAAAAAAAATACAAAATTTTAAATGTTTGGTTAACAATCAGTAATGGCCTTTTTATATTGAATAAAAGACATTGTAAACAAGTCCAAATCGAAATCAGATAGGTTGTCATAAAAGTCAGAGTTTTTAGGCAAACATAATACAGAAACACGTACAGAGTTAGATTTTCTTTACTCGGGAGAAATTAGTCATGAGGGGGGTGTTTTATCAGAGGAATGAGTTCACTAAATAAAACAAGTGTCAACGGGTTTGATGCACTGATTTTATTTATTTATTTATTGACGTTTCACATCCTTTGCAGGAATGCATCGTCGGAATGTATTAAAGGGGTTAAAAATAAAATCAGTGCATCTAACACGTTGAAACCCCTTGTTTTATTTAATGAGCGATGTGCAAGAAAAATTTTTTTTTTGGTCTGGAAAATGCCTTACGCATCCTTCAACCACTGGGGGAGCGAGAAGAAGGTATGTGGGACTCCTCCCTGTCCACTTCAGCCAGCCCTGAGGCCAGATGAAGTGTACAGGGCCCTCACTACACCCTGAACAGGGCCACTAAAAACCAGACAATATCCCTGCACCGTGTCACCCGAACCGCATTTCAGGCCCGTAATCCCAGTATTGCGGGTCAGGAGTGCGGGTGGGGTTGCGGTACCCCGTGAAGACTGCCCGCAAATGTGCAAGAAAACATAGGAAACAAATATGTAAAGTTAACCTTAGCGCTATCCATAAATAATTAAAATCGGCTGGACGACTGGTCTTCTGTTTCCTTTTATTTTGTGCCCGAGCAGTGGCATTTCGCCAACAATATCACATCTCCAAAAGATACATTTTATGAGTTGACCGACGTTTCAAGGCCGATATAAATTAGCAAATATAGAACATAGAAGGTCACTGTCGAGGAACGAAGGAAGAAGTACATGTATTTTGATTTTAACTGATTACTGAGAATAGTTTTCCGTTTCGTCCGTCTGTTTGCTGATTAGGTTGAATCTCAACTTTTGAATGCTCTAATCGCTACATTAAATAGACATTATATGCACACGTCCAAAGCCATTTAAAAATTAAAGCCATTAAAGCTGCTGCATTTCGCCATCGTACCTCGCGACAAAAATTTCATCCCCATCATCTTGATGCGTGGCTATCCACAACCGTGCGTTTTTGTCGAAATTTTTTACCACGTGCTACAAAACTGTGGAATATGTTGTCGCCAGCAGTGTTTCCGGACCAATACGACCCAAAAACCATCAAAAATAGAGCGTACTCCATCCTTAAAGGCCGGCATCGCATTTGTGATACTCCTGGTGTTGCAAGTGTCCATGGGCGACGGTGATCACCTACCATCAGGTGAGCCGTCTGCTCGTATGCCCCCTATAACATAAAAAAGCCCGATAAATGATAAATAATTAGCATACGAACTATCTTCTAAGTTCTTGCAAAAATAGACATAGAACAAAGAGTGGAGGAATGAGAAATATCCGTTTCAAATCAACCATGATTTAGAAGGAGAACTGTAGGCCACACTGTCCCTTTGTATTTAAATAAACAATATGTAGCGCGCAGGTGGTTAGCGCGTTCGGCTGCGATCGTTGTAGTTAAGCAACTTTCGCAGTGGTCGGTAATTGGATGGGTGACCAAAAATTTCTATCTCGAGTTCCTCCGTGCTTCGGAAGGCACGTTAAGCCGTTGGTCCCGGTTGCATCTGCAATCGTTAGCACCCGACAATCCGCACTGGGCCCGCGTGGTGGGTCATGGCCCAATCTCCCTATTCCATCCATAGGGAAGGCCTGTGCCCCAGCAGTGGGGACATTAAGAGGCTGATGATGAAATAATATGTTAAAAGGGTGGCAATTAAGCATATGACCCGCCTAATGGTTATGGAGTTATTCTCCCTTGTCCCTCCATCATCCTTTCTTCAGAGACCACGCGCGCTGGCCTACGTTGCCACCGACTTACTGTGTTCACTATTCCTACACGAACAAAGAAATTTTATGACTCATTTATTTGTCGTACTATTCGTAAATTCTTTACTCGCGCAAGTGTTCCCTCCTTCCTACGATCTGAGGTCCTTTAAGAGAGGCGTGAAGAAGTATTTTTGCGGGCCGGCAAGGTGAGGATGGTTGGTGTGGCAGTTTATAACTGCTTCACCAGCTATCTTCGCGTTTGGAATTTATCACCACTTAACATCAGGTGGGGTAGAGTCATTTGGCTACCTGGCTATATATAAAAAAAATGGGTGCGTGTACTTATGTAGGCGCGTGAGAAGTTATCCTTCTTTGGCATCGTTTAAAATTAGTTTTTAATTGCATGCAAATAATTAATTACAATAAATTAATAAAAAGTCTGGAAAAGGACACAGTCAATAAAGTTCAGTTTTAATTTGAAAAAATAACTAAATAATCAAAATATTCAATTAAAATCGCTACTGAATATAATTTATTAGAACATATGTGATTTGCACTTGTATGAAACTCAAACACGTATTCCGAATATACAAACTAGAAACATGTGGATAAATATTATAAATATGAATACCTATAACTGTTACTTTATTACAAAAAATAAAGATGTGGTTTTTGGTTCTACTACACCAATGGTCAAGAAATGGCGCTGTAGTCTCCTGAATCGCGCTTTGGTTCCGTTGTTCCAAATTAATAAATACTTTTGATATTATAAATATGAATACCTAAAACTGTTACTTTATTACAAAAAATAAAGACGTGGTTTTTGGTTCTACTACACCAATGGTCAAGAGATGGCGCTGTAGTCTCCTGAATCGCGCTTTGGTTCCGTTGTTCCAGATTAATAAATACTTTTGATAGGCCTTCACAATGCAGTCGTTAGCACCCACTAAATAGAGATTCTATTTCTATTTAGTTGGTAGATTTTCTTAATGTGCGGTAAACACAAAAGTAACAGCATGAAGTTAGTCGCTAAAGCGACCAACTTCATGCTGTTAATTTTTGTGTTACAGTGATGCGCGCGCATCTTAAAATTTCACTCTCATAATTTTTTCATAACGCGCCTAAAGAAGTATAACTTCAAAAAAAAGTGGTAAGCGGCCACCACAGCCTATAGATGCTTGCGATACAAAGTAATATCACTCGTGTGGTTGCCTACCCTGAGCCACTCCCCTACCCCGTGGAGCCCTGGAACCTTACCGACAGAAACCCAACACTATTATTGACTTAGTAGTCTAAGTGTTATTTTACTGTGATCTTTTGTAAGGTGGAAATACTTCAGAAGGGCGCTCCAATTCGAGCAGGAAATCCGCTGTACTCTACCTCTCTTAAAATTATTTGCCTCACAGTTTTCTACTAATATTTACAGCTGGATGATGAACATTCAGCCCATTCTTTGTCTCTATGGTTGTATTAATGGGGTAACAAATAAAAAATGTATCTAAATAATAATATAAAATTTATTTGTCCCAACATAATGCCGTCTTGCGGCAAAAAGTTGCGTCCCTGATGTGTAGAGTGCGGAGCAGTAACAACACCATTCTGTGAGTCGTGGCAGGTGATCCGCATGCACCATTTGGGAGGCACTCCGTGGGAATGATGACTGAAATAGAAGTTAATTATTCTTCCTTCCTTGACGACCTCCGTGGTCGAGTGGTTTGTACGCCGGGTTTCATGGTGTCGCCGACTCGAGAGGTCCCGGGTTCAAATCCCGGTGGGGGCAGATGTTTGTGTGATGAATACGAGCATTTGTACTCCAGCCATGGATGTTTAATATGTATTTCTATATAAATATACTTATATATGTACAGTATATGTATTCTATCCGTTACCCTAGCATCCCATAACACAAGCCTTACAGTGCTTACTTTGGGGCTAGGCTAATTGGTGTGAGTGTTGGAAATATTTATTTATTTATTTATTATTTATTCCTGGTATCGTTCGCGCGGAGTGCCTCTAAGGTACATGGCGTATTAAAAATGCAAAACTTTTGTGGATACTTACTTATAGGCTACTAACCCTTAGCTATAAGTTATATTGTATACTAACATATGGATCTGTGTTGTCTGACAATAAACGATATTATTATTATTATGACATAGTTAAATCATAACTATTGTTTTCTTAATGCCTAATAACAGCGACAATGCTAATTACAACAAGAAATACAATAAAATATCACTGTTACAATACACCTTCCATTAGATAGATCCTTCCATTTTGACAAAATTAACATTGAAAAGATTTCATCTATCATTATCGTCATCATCAGCCTATTAATGTCCCCACTGCTGGGGCACAGGCTTCCCTATGGATGGAATAGGGAGATTGGGCCATGACCCACCACGCGGGCCCAGTGCGGATTAGCGGGTGCTAACGACTGCAGACTGCTAACTTTCATCTACAATATTTTGAATTTTGTCCTTGTGAATTCTGCAAGAAACTTAATATCATTACGTATCTCTTTAAGGTGCTGACTCGCGAGAACATTGAGGAGATCATAAAGTTTGCGCACAAACACAAGCTGTTCATATTCGCGGACGAGGTGTACCAGGACAACGTCTACGACGAGGGCAGCAAGTTCTACTCCTTCAAGAAGGTAAGGCATTCAACAATTATTCAAAATAGCGCCATCTACGACAGGTCTAGAGTTGATTTTCTAACGTAAATTTGTCGACCTACACCGAAATTGTTAAATTAATATTATAATGTTATTATGTGAATGAATATCCATAAAATCTATATATATAAAAATGAAACCCGTTTTCCGTTGTCACGACATAACATGAAAACGGCTTGACAGATTTGGCTGATTTTTTTTTAGAATATACCTTGAAGTACAAGGATGGTTCTTACGAAGAGAAAAATTAAAAAAAATGCTTGAAAATGTCAAAAAACAAAACTTTTCTTTACTCCCATACAAACGATTCGTAATAATACTTAAAAGTCAATTTGAACTTTAATACCATACCATAAATTTCAAATGTTAGTGGAGAGATTCTGGGAAGGCAAAACAATTGAGCGACGTGATGTCAATAGAAGTTTGGAAAAGATAAATATACCATCTTCAGTTTTTTTATAATCTATATATATAAAACTCAAAGGTGACTGACTGACGTAGTAATCTATCAACGCCCAGCCCAAAACACTGAACGGATCGGGCTGAAATTTGGCATACAGGTAGATGTTATGACGTAGGCATCCGCTAAGAAAGGATTTTGATCAATTCTACCCCCAAGGGGATAAAATAGGGAATGAAAGTTTGTATGAAACTTTGTCAATTTTAAAACCGGGCTGAGACTTTGCATGCAGGTATAAGAATAATCATAGATGAATGTCATTGTGTATAAAACAAGCCTGAGATCAAAAACTGTAGTCTACGCTTCAGCTCTACACCGAAGCGAAGCGAGGGCGGGCCGCTAGTTAATTATAAAATATGATATTGATATTGTTGTGACGTAATTATAGTTTTTACTTTTGTCTTAAAAGTATTAAATGTGTTAAGTAACGAGAAAAAAATGCGAAAGTCAAATAAAATTAAAACTTGAAAATTTTCATTTTAGCCGTTGTATTATAAAATCGGAACGAATGAACCGATTTTGATAATTGAAAAAATATATCATTTAAAAAGCTTATTGGATCATTGTACTGTTGATTTTCAGTTGATTTGCTGACCTAGTAATGATCCTCATTATTACATTATTTTTGATCCTGTCAAATAGCCTTTTGAAAATGCAATTTCACCATTCTCAAACCTCTTTATTTCCCTTTTGCCAGGTTCTCCGTGAAATGGGCGGTGCTTACAGCTCTAATGTGGAGCTGGCATCGTTCATGTCGGTCAGCAAGGGGTATATGGGGGAGTGCGGCCTCAGGGGGGGGTGGATGGAACTCGTCAACGTGGGTGAGGGGGTGCAGGCACAGCTGTACAAGGCCATCTCCGCCATGCTGTGCCCCACCTCGCTGGGGCAGGCCGCCGTGTCCTGTGTGGTGAGTATATATATACATATACATATACACGGGGTGCAGGCACAGCTGTACAAGGCCATCTCCGCCATGCTGTGCCCCACCTCGCTGGGGCAGGCCGCCGTGTCCTGTGTGGTGAGTATATATATACATATACATATACACGGGGTGCAGGCACAGCTGTACAAGGCCATCTCCGCCATGCTGTGCCCCACCTCGCTGGGGCAGGCCGCCGTGTCCTGTGTGGTGAGTATATATATACATATACATATACACGGGGTGCAGGCACAGCTGTACAAGGCCATCTCCGCCATGCTGTGCCCCACCTCGCTGGGGCAGGCCGCCGTGTCCTGTGTGGTGAGTATATATATACATATACATATACACGGGGTGCAGGCACAGCTGTACAAGGCCATCTCCGCCATGCTGTGCCCCACCTCGCTGGGGCAGGCCGCCGTGTCCTGTGTGGTGAGTATATATATACATATACATATACACGGGGTGCAGGCACAGCTGTACAAGGCCATCTCCGCCATGCTGTGCCCCACCTCGCTGGGGCAGGCCGCCGTGTCCTGTGTGGTGAGTATATATATACATATACATATACACGGGGTGCAGGCACAGCTGTACAAGGCCATCTCCGCCATGCTGTGCCCCACCTCGCTGGGGCAGGCCGCCGTGTCCTGTGTGGTGAGTATATATATACATATACATATACACGGGGTGCAGGCACAGCTGTACAAGGCCATCTCCGCCATGCTGTGCCCCACCTCGCTGGGGCAGGCCGCCGTGTCCTGTGTGGTGAGTATATATATACATATACATATACACGGGGTGCAGGCACAGCTGTACAAGGCCATCTCCGCCATGCTGTGCCCCACCTCGCTGGGGCAGGCCGCCGTGTCCTGTGTGGTGAGTATATATATACATATACATATACACGGGGTGCAGGCACAGCTGTACAAGGCCATCTCCGCCATGCTGTGCCCCACCTCGCTGGGGCAGGCCGCCGTGTCCTGTGTGGTGAGTATATATATACATATACATATACACGGGGTGCAGGCACAGCTGTACAAGGCCATCTCCGCCATGCTGTGCCCCACCTCGCTGGGGCAGGCCGCCGTGTCCTGTGTGGTGAGTATATATATACATATACATATACACGGGGTGCAGGCACAGCTGTACAAGGCCATCTCCGCCATGCTGTGCCCCACCTCGCTGGGGCAGGCCGCCGTGTCCTGTGTGGTGAGTATATATATACATATACATATACACGGGGTGCAGGCACAGCTGTACAAGGCCATCTCCGCCATGCTGTGCCCCACCTCGCTGGGGCAGGCCGCCGTGTCCTGTGTGGTGAGTATATATATACATATACATATACACGGGGTGCAGGCACAGCTGTACAAGGCCATCTCCGCCATGCTGTGCCCCACCTCGCTGGGGCAGGCCGCCGTGTCCTGTGTGGTGAGTATATATATACATATACATATACACGGGGTGCAGGCACAGCTGTACAAGGCCATCTCCGCCATGCTGTGCCCCACCTCGCTGGGGCAGGCCGCCGTGTCCTGTGTGGTGAGTATATATATACATATACATATACACGGGGTGCAGGCACAGCTGTACAAGGCCATCTCCGCCATACTATCATCATCATCAGCCTATTAATATCCCCACTGCTGGGGCACCAGCCTTCTCTATGGATGGAATTGGGAGATTCGGCCATGACGAGGAGGCCTGTGCCCCAGCAGCCGGGACAGTGATAAACTGATGATAATGAATAGTGTTTAATATTCTCTCGTATTCTGAGGAGCTCCATGGTGCAAGTGGTTAGCGCTTTCGGCTGCGATCATTGAAATTAAGCAACTGTCGCGCAGTGGTCGGCCATTGGATGGGTGACAAAAAATCTTCTATCTCGAGTTCCTCCGTGCTTCGGAAGGCACGTTAAGCTATTGGTCCCGGCTGCATCTGCAATCGTCAGCACCCACCAGTCCACACTGGGCCCGCGTGGTGGGTCATGACCCAATCTCCCCATTTATAAGTAAGGCCTGTCCCCCAGCAGTGGGGACATTAATAGGCTGATGATGTTGAACATTTTCTTTAGATTTAAAAGCCCTTTTACTGACCGGCGTATAGGTAGATTTGCACTAGTATGTATTTCATTTTACGGGTGATGTTTCAAGTCTTATAAAATAATTATTAATAAAATAATTATAAAAATATATATATATATATTTCAGTAGTTCAATGATGGTAGATTAGTTTTATGAAAGTTTTTGATAGTAATTCTATTTAATTTAATATCAAAATACGAGGTAAACCTGCATTATTTTTTAGGAAAACTCACAGAGGTTAAATGTTTTTTTTTTTTGATATTTAATGAGATGGAAAATCAAAATTCTAGTACATTATGTTACAACATAAACATATTTCTAATGTCGTAGTAATTAATTTGATCTAATTTATTGAAGATTATTGAGAAATTGAGGCGTTTGAAGTTGTGCATATTATCGTTGTTTCCGTAAACTAGCTGCGGTAGAACGATCAGTACAAAAAAAGGAAAATAGTATTTGCAAACATTCTACATTAACCTACAATAGGAAAAATAAATCTACTGTTTACTTTTATTGGAAATAGTCAAAATCTTTTCTAAGGGGGTAAACGAGGCGCTCAAACATTACGATTTTTTGCAAAAAATGTGAAAGGGCTCTTAAACACCTGCAGTTAAATGCTAAAATATAATAAACTAAATTGGGTGTTTTATTTCTACCAGGCAGCGCCTCCGATGGAAGGCGATCCGTCATACAAGCAATGGTTGCAAGAGAAAACTGCAGTACTACGCTCCCTGAAGGAGAGAGCCCATATGATCGCCAAAACGTTCAACAGTATGGAGGGTTTCACCTGTAACCCAGTGCAGGTAAGCTTTCATTCAAAACCGTCTCCCCTTTATTAATAAACTAAGATCAAACTTGGATTAGTTACTCCATGTTTTTGTCTCTGTTCATCTAATGACAAATGACATTTAAGTGATATGAACAAAAGACGGCGTAACTAGTCTAAACTTATTCCTCGTTAATTAATAAGAGGGTCTGTGTTTAAAGAAAATTTCGAACGCCTGTAGGATTTCACATATACATATCAAAACAGTGTATAGTCTGTTCCAAACGTATTTAGACCAACGGTAAATAAACACTTTACTCCCAAATTCCCGCGCAATGACTCACTAAATTGATTTCTCAACACATTCATTTGCATTTCTAGGGGTTTAACTTATTAATTTACTATCTCATATATCACTAATTTCTTTATGAATATATGAAAATTATAAATAAAAATTTGAGTCTAAAAGTAAGACCATTTTGAAAAATGGGTTTGAAAGAAATTTGTCAACTAGACAACACTATGGTTGAACATGTTGCACCGAAAAGTCTATTAAAAATTATTTCAATTGACGTTAGTAATCGAGTAGTGAATCGATTATTTATTCGAACTGATAAGTAACTTATTGAATAATATAGTTTATGGAACATAATTTTAGTGTTATTGCAAATATGAGCAATTAAGTGGGTATTTGGTTTTTATTCTCAGGGTTTTATTATTATCTTAAATCTAAATTACGGATTGTGTGGTACTTTAATTATTCGCTTATTGTTTCATCTTGGATATTTAAAATGTAGAAATAGTATAGTTTTGATTCACTTATAGCACAGACGCATGTATAATTGACAAATGTATGACGACAAACCGTCATATTCAATAAATCACGCAAACCAATCGTCCAAAAACAGTTTTAATATGTAACGAAATATAGTTGACTATATTGCCAAATACAGCCAGAGTTCTTTTTTGAGTAATTATGAATAGCGAAGTGAAGTGCCGGTAATTATGCTGTATCTGTACTGTCATAGACAATGAAAAGGATGAGAAACGTCATAGATAAATAAATCAGTGCATCTATACCGTTGAAACTTGTTTCATTTAGTGTTTTTTCTTGTTTCAGGGCGCGATGTATGCGTTCCCCCGCTTCGAGTTGCCGCCCAAAGCGATAGAAGCGGCCAAACAGGCCAAACAACCGCCCGATGTCTTCTACGCGTTCAAATTACTCGAAGAAACAGGTATATATATATACTAGCGGACCCGACAGACGTTGTCCTGTCTAGTATGGTAGCGCCGTCTGTCGGATCCAATGTAAAACATTCCAAAATCAACAACTACTAATAAATTAAAAATTAATTAAAAGAACATTGTCCAGCGGACAAAATTGTGAATCTAAACCATTCTCAGATCCCCTTGAACACACACAAAAAATTTCATCAAAATCGGTCCAGTCGTTTAAGAGAAGTTCAGTGACATACACACTCACAGAAGAATTATATATATAAAGATATATATATATATATATATATATATATATTATATATATATTTTTATTTACTTGTACATATATATATATATATATGTACAAGTAAATAAAAAAACGAGTGAGCCTTACAGTAGTCGCGTATGATGTGTAACATTTGAAACCTCACCTTATATTAGTAAAAAAAGAAATAAAACCTACTACAAAAGGAATAAGCCATTTGAACATTATATTCTCTAAATCAAATCAAATAGCGCGCGCTGTTGCGACTTCCTGTTACACACTTCCGTCCCATTTCACGAAATCACACCCACAAATTGCCGGAAAGCGAGAGAAAAGATGGTACACATCAATAAGTTCTGAGGAGCTCGATGGCGCAAGTGCATAGCGCGTTCGGCTGCAATCGTCGAAGTTAAGCAACTTTCGTAGTGGTCGGTCATTGGATGGGTGACCGAATATTTAATATCTCTCACTCCTCCGTGCTTCGGAAGGCACGTTAAGCCGTTGGTCCCGGCTGCATCTGCAGTCGTTAGCACCCACCAGTCCGCACTGAGCCCGCGTGGTGGGTCATGGCCCAATTTCTCTATTCCATCCATAGGGAAGGTCTGTGCCCCAGCAGTGGGGACATTAATAGGCTGATGATGAAATAAATAAATAATCTAAATTTCTTATACTCAGTCCAGTTAACCTAGCCTTGAAGTAAGCACTGTAAGGCTTGTGTTACTAGATCAACGGATAGAATACTAATGAAATAATCCCTGTTTAGTAATTGTTCACGGTTTTTATTAGCTATAAGTTACAAAATGCATGGATGGGATGGTCATGTACGAAAGTAAAAGCAAGGGAAGTGACGCCGTGAAAATCCCTCAGGAACCTGACATTTCCGGGATTAAAAGTACCCTATGTCTCAATCCAGGTCTTAAACTATTTTTGCACCGAATAGGATATTTGACAGTATTAAAAATAAAGTGCCCAATTGCTAGCATCTGTGTTTAGAATGAATATTGGCAGGAATTTTCACTATTTTTACAGAAAATATATTCATTATTTAATAATAACTAAAAACCCACGAAAAAGATAACGAATAGTTTTCTTATCTATTGTCACGTGACTCACAAAACACTTGGGATGAGCGGAAACTAAAATGACGTCACACGCAAGTAAACTTCCGGTTAAAGTGACATTACATTGTAACGTTTGACGTTTTAATAACAGTCGTGTGACATCACACCATTGAGACGCCATATTGTCCAGAGAAACATTTTCGCGGCAACTTGAAAATGGAGTTTTTGATTTGGTTATATTTACTGAAATACACAACAGAATAATGAATATCCAGTTTATACGGACTCCATAAACATGAGTCAATAACGTGAGATCGTTTTCTAAAACTTATCAAATACCCTATTGCAGCCAAATCCGTTAAGTAGTTTTTTGATAGATAAGTCCGACAAATGACTCCACCTCACCTGGTGTTAAGTGACGGTGAAGTCCAGCCGTGGAGATAGCTGGTACAGCAGTTCTACCTGCCACATCAGCCATCTTTATTTTCTTTACGTGCTTCAGTTACAAACACACAAACGTACAAGCAATAGTTTGTATAGAGTATAATAGCCAATAGTATTATTTTATAATATTAGTGAGACACAGATTTCCGACTGTAAAAATGACCATTAAAATTTGAAAGAGTATTAGAAATAATTATTTATTAAATATATATTTTTTTAAAGCATCTAACTGCTTCATGTTTCAATCTAAAGAAAATATAACTAGAAAAAATTCCATGCGGGCCAGACAGCAGACGAGACTTTTTCTAGTTGTATTTTCTTTAGATTTTTAATTATTTATTGTTCGCCGAGTGTACAACAATGTAATTGTGTTTTACAGGAATCTGCATAGTCCCAGGTTCAGGGTTCGGCCAACGCGACGGGACCTACCACTTCCGGACCACCATCCTGCCACAACCAGCTCTATTGCAGGAAATGCTCAACATATTCCAGAATTTCCACAAGAAGTTTACGCAACAATACAAGTAAATGATGTAACCCGCGAATTGATTCAATCATAACATCAAACTATAAGAAAATAAAAACATATTTACGAACGATTAAATAATGTAGAGAAAATTTTTACTAGAAAAAAAACACGCGGACCAGACAGCAGACGGGATTCGAACCCGCAACCTTCGCTATACGGGTGAATGCACTGACCGCGGCCTTGACGGCCGTGTCGATTTTTCTCTTACTTCTTACTGTAATTACTACTTCTTCTAACGTTTAATACTTGTAAAGCTATTCATTTGACATTGTCGGTTACCTACAAAGAGATGGTGCTGCCTTGCAGCTTAAGAAAGGCTAGAATGAATTCGACTCGACCATCAGGGCCGCGGTAGCATAATGGTTAGCGCATTCGCCGGATAGCGAATGGTGCGGGTTCGAGTCTCATCTGCTGCCTGGTGCGCCCGCGTGGAATTATTTCTAGTAAACAATTTCTTTAGAATGTAGCAATTAAATGCTTAAAATAATAAAATACATATTACGATTAAATAAGTAGAGTATTTAAAACAGAGTCTAGTAATTGCTTCGTAATGTCACAGAAAATGGGGTAGTTTCATCTGTTTAATAAGTCCATTATTAGGGTAGGCAATATCGCACACTTAAACTACCCTCCAAGTCTGACTTTGATTTACTTAGCAGCTACAAACAGTATAGATCACACATTATTTACCAATTCCACAGTTTATTAAAGAATATGTAAGTATTTTACAACATTTCTGTAGTATTTTATAATAAAAATGTTGAGATTTGATTGATTAAATAACCAATGAATTTTAACAGTAAACATTGAATTCTTGCGAGACATTTGGAAAACTTGTATGCTAATCTTTGTATAAATAGAACAATTGGTATGAAAGCATTCGTATTAGAAGCGATATTAATTAGATGTATTTAATGTTATACAACAAGTCAAAGTTTTTCAACTGAGGGGAAATAATCATGATGATAGTTATATTTTTAATGCTAAAAATGGCGTCGTTGAGTATTGGTATGATATTAATATTTATATAAAACACGCTGCATCTTATATATTCTGCCAAGCGAGGAACGCGGAGAAATGCTACGTTATATGTTATATATTTTTCTTTATGTTACGATGTGCAATATTTATAGAGTTTTGCCACAAATCTAAGTATCCTTTTGCCCATTAAGTTATGGTGCTTCCCACACAGTATTTATAAAAGTTATATAACATTATGACATAACATATTGTAACACAGCATGATAGAACTATGTTAATTGTAATATTTTTTTTTCTGAAATTTTGTAATTTTACCCCTGGGAAACCTTTTCCAACATTAAAACATACGAACTGGCTGTAATAATATCAATATATATTTAATATATATATATATATATATAATTACTGTGTGGGTGTACAACTATATTGTCAGTGTTGGGATAGTTTGCAAACCCTCTTATTAATATTGCTTATGTGATTTTATGTAATTAAGTTATATATCATTATTAACTTGGATGATTTTAAATACCAAAAAAAGACTATTCGAAATTGTTGTGATAATTAAGTTAATTTACCACTCAATACACCGAGCGCGAGTCTGATTTTAAAAATTATGTATATTTTGTTAAAATATTAATAATTCTTTTTTATTGCAAATTCGGTTTCTAGTCGTGGCTGTGCCATTGTCCAATTAGTGACACAAAACAATAAAATAAAAAGGTGCATTGTATATTATTTATTTCATTCAAATATCAATTGATTTGATCACATATGTAATGATATTAATGTCGATTTTCTGGCAAGATTTTCCAAAGTTAAATCTAAATTTAAAACAGCCTGTCTCCTTTCATTCTGTATAAAGAATGACAACGCTGTTTTCAAAGCGAAATTTTAGAGAAAATCATGCCAAAATTGACACCTAAGTATACCTAATTGTATTGATTTTATGAATTGTTCCAATGAAATGAGTAGGTTATTATATTCGGCGCATGATTAAAGTTAACCATGGAGGTTAGAGAAAATAGTGTCCCAGAGATATGGACAAAATAAGTGAGGCGCTGCGATCGCTAAGTTGTCTCAATAAAAGCGGGCTGTTATGCGCTAATATGAAATGAACAATGCCGCGAAGAAAATTTGTACATAATTCGACTAACTTCATCTACTTGTACTCATAAACAGCTAACTTCACAGATACTACTTACCGACGGCAGCGCGGCTGGTGGCTGAAAAATGAACTATAAATTGTACAAATTTTCAGGGACAGGCGGGATAATGCTTTAGCACGTAGTTCTCCTCTCTAACCTCCATGACGTTAACAACGTTTGACAATAAAGTCATTGATTTGTTGAATTAGAATTTAGTCTTTATGTGAAAGGATTTAACGACGATTTTCAATTGGTTTGCAGTGTAATGTGAAGCGTGTCATAACGTATCGAGTTTAAGTAGGTACTGATTAAATTGAATAAGATATATAACTGTAAATATTTACGGAAAAAGGTTAGTGTCCAATGTATTGTACCTGCCACAAATTGAAGACGTGATTAAAGAAAAAGATTACGTTAATTCTTAGGAGAAACAAAAGAATGCTTTTTTAATTTACTTTTTCCTTTGCAATTTTCCATTAATTTATTATATATCACGGACACTTCTTTTTTATCGAATTCGGCAGTTTATAATTTAACTATCAATATCTTGCTTAGCCTATACATAAATATGCCTGCAAATTATTGGTTTTTCGTTTTATTCCTCAATAATAGGGTATTTGACAAGTTTTAGAAAACGATCTCACGTTATTTACTCATGTTTATAGAGTCCATAAAAAGGATATTCATCATTATGTTGTGTATTTCGGTAAAAAAACTATAAGGAAAACTTTATTTTCAAGTTGCCGTGAAAAAAGTATCTCTGGACAATATGGCGTCTCACTTGTGTGTGACGCCACACGACTGTCATTAAAACGTCAAACCATACAATCTAATGTCACTTTAACCGGAAGTTTACTTGCGCGTGACGTCATTTTAGGCTCCACCAATCCCAAGCGTTTTGGGTCACGTGACAAAGACAAGAAAACTATTATCTTTATCGTGGGTTTTTAGTAAAATTATGAATATTTTTTCTGTAAATATAGTAAAAACTCCTGCCAATATTCATTCTAAATACAGATGCTAATAATTTTTAATACTGACAAATATCCTATTATAAAATATATATTACTTGTTTAATTACTCATTATAATAATTTGTTACGTGTGTACCTTCTAAAAGCCATTGAAAGTGTTTCATAAGTCGTTAAAAATAAGGTCGAATTTAATTGCATTATTCAATAAAAAAGATGTTAATAACTTCATCTGTTGAAATCTATGTTTATTTGTATTTTAGTTACGTCTAAATCGGACACAGAGCAATGGGAACTCGTTCATAGAGTAATTTTCTTTATATCAACTACGTTGAACTTCTAAATCAATCCTTATTGTGCTTTGTTTCATAAAATTATTTTTTCTTAGGTCCCTGGTTCAATTCCCGGCTGGGAAATATTAGAAAATCAAACTTTTATAATATTGTATCTGGTCTGGGCGGTTGTGGCACCACATTGGTTTTCGACTGTCACAATACAAATGGTTTAACTTTAAACTTTGGGACCAAAGCAATGTTATATGATTATTGTCTTGTAAACACATAAAATTGATGAAATTCTCGATTAGTTCGTTTAATAAATTATGTGATTGAATATTTATGTTTAATTATTAATAAAATATATATGTAATTGATATGTTTAAACAAACACCACAATGCCCAGGAGTATACATAATTTTCATAAGAATATTTATGTTTTATGCAAAAGGATATTATAGTATATAACAAAATTTATCGTAAGGCCTCGTAGTAATTGAACGCGTAAACGCAATCATTGCTAGTATATGCGAAATTTTTGAACACGAATTAAATATTTGAAAAAAGGTTCGTCTAACTTAATATAACATTCATTTATATAGGAAACTTAATTACTGCATTCACATACATCAGTTAACTTTTAAGTTATTGGAAAGTTGGTACTGTCTTATATGTTTCTTAGGTTTTCACCCACATCACTCATTAAATAAAACTAGTTTTAACGTGTTAATGCACGAAACTTTATTTATTTATTGACGTTTCGCAGCCTTTTCAGGTATGCATCGTAAGAATAATTTTTAAAATCATTATTCTGTCGATGCAGACCTGAAAAGGCTGCGAAACGTCAATAAATAAATAAAGTTTCGTGCATTAACCCGTAAAACTAGTTTTATTTGGTACTGTCGTTTTCATTGCCATGTCAACAGAAAGACAACATGAGACTTTACGAGACTTAAGTTGATGTCCCTAAGTATAGTAGTTAATTAAAATTCAAGTCTGATCGCGGTTGCACGATCAATATTAATTAGTAAATTATTAAATGTATCGCTCGCTGCGAGTTTCGGAACATTCCTTCATTAGGAATCGCTATTGAGTGTAGTGGACGCGTTCGTTGAAACGTTGTTAAAAATGAATAAAGTGATGTTATATTGGCGAAGATTGTTTCATTTATTTACTCAATTGTTTGTAGGTATTCAATTTGTCAAACCTGTGAAAATTTGCCTTTTTGGTGAAAATTGCAACTGGGTTCAAGTACTGCATATGCTGATCCATGATAATAATAGGGTATTTGACAAGTTTAAGGCAACGATCTCACGTTATTGGCTAATGTTTATGGAGTCCGTAAAAAGTAGATACTCATCATTCTGTTGTTCATCATTTCAGTAAAAATAACCAAATCAAAAACTCCATTTTCAAGTTGCCGGGAATACGTATCTCTGGACAATATGGCGTCTTACTAGTGTGTGACGTCACACGACTGTTATTAAAACGTCAAACGATATGTAATGTCACTTTTACCGAAAGTTTACTTGCGTGTAATAGATAAGAAAACTATTATCTATATATCGTTTTTTTCGTATCTTTAGAATTTTGGGAGATATTTTTAAGAAAATGGTGAAAAACACGAAATTGAAAAAAATCGGTTTTCTCTTTAAACTCTCAAATTTTCGAAAATTTGGCACTTTAAATTGGTTTATTAGTTTTACGAAAAAAACGTGTATAACAGTTTTTTTCTTAGAATTACTTTTTCCGTCGATTCCTAGAGTTAAAATGTAATAAAAAAATTCCACCCCCGAGATAGCTAGCGTCACAAGAGAGATAGCTAGCGGTCTCTCATCTTTCTCTTTCTACTAGACGACACTTTTAGAGCCGCCTTCCCCACTCTATTCTTATACCTCTATGGTTCTGTACCCTTAGCACGAACTAATATCGAATTCGTTACGTTTGCGAGTCCAAAATGTCATTGTCAAATGAGTACTGATTTTTAGTTCTCGTTACATCCTTTGTGGCGTTGCTGTTCAAGTTTCCATACAAAATTTGACAACGACATCCCGGGCTCACAAACTATTCGAATTCGATATTGGTTCGTGCTTAGGGGACAGTACCCCTAGCACAAACCAATATCGAATTCGTATCGTTTGCGAGTCCGAAATGTCATTGTCAAATGTGTACTGATTTTTAGTTCTCGTTACGTACTTTGTGCCGCTGCTGTTCAAGTTTCCATACAAAATTTTACAGCGAGTCCGGGACTCGAAAACTATTCGAATTCGATATTGGTTCGTGCTAAGTGTACAGTTCAGTGCTAGAGTTACAAACGCGACCAGTACAAGCAGATACAGGTAGTGGCATTGTGGCCATCGACATGTGTTTATATGAGTTTGTTTTCACGAAATCGCCGAGCGCTAACGGCCACAATCAGTGGCCACAACGATCAACTAAATTTGGCGGTTGCGGCCAAGTGCGCGACGATCGTACGATTTCTTTAGATAATCTGGTTATTGCGTCATTGCCGTTGCGCGAAGTGCTTAAGAAGCGCCATACACGTTACAATGTTCGTACAGGCCGTCGCACGTACTTCGGTCGTAGGGGAGGATGGGGGAATTGCGGACGCTGAAGGGAAATAACGCACAACATTCGTAGTATTAGTAATAATTAGTCTGTCTTTATTAATTATTAATCTTTAGTTATACATCTACAAAAACAATTATACTTATTAAACGAGATCAATCAACAAATAGAATATTTTTAGCAAAAACAAAACCTTGTCTGTCCGTAATTACCCGTAGTGTTCGGGGTAAATTCAGACTGACCCTGGGTTAATAACGGACAGCATGGGGTATTTACGGACTAGGTTCACATCATTGACAAAAATCACAAGTAAAGCCTTTAGAAGAACTTACTGCAGTGCAGTTCTCATGAGCCCACTTGTTACACTTTAAACACATAATTCAGTCTTCGGCGAGTAGATCACTGTACTTTTCCTGATAATCAAAAGTAATCAACATAATTCCTTCATTTTCAAAATTATTCAGATTTTTTAAACTCTTTGATCCTTTTCCTGTAGAAAGTTCTGACTTTTTCAGCTTATTAGATGTAGTTTTATTTTCTTTTATTCCTTTTCTTCTAGATTCTTTTTTTCCGGGGTGCTGGTAAAAATGATGGAATGCTTTTTGTTTACTGACCGTTTGCTACGATGAATTTGTAGAGTTGGGACCTTTATTAAATCACTAAGCGGTACTGATGAAGATTGACTTGTTTGACTTGTCGTACTTTGGTTTCGGACGTCCGTATTTACCCCGCAAGCCGTGTCCGCAATTAACCTCACTGGGTATTTTTAAATCAAAGAGAGAAATTTGTAGGTTATGAAAACGTTCCATAAAAACAAACATTGGCGATTCAAACTCCATTGACAAAGCTATCCATAGAAAATATCACTTTTTACCATCACTTAATATACAGACCTGTCCCTCGAATTAAAAAACACTAAAAATTAGATCAATATACACTTTTTTTTTTAATTTTACCTACCTTTCAAACTGTGCGCAGCCGGCTGTCGTAAGTTTTTGCGTGGCATTAAAGTAGTGGAAAGAAACAGACGACAGCACCGGGCTGCCGCGGGTGGAGGGAATGAGTAGAAACTTGCTAGTCCGTATTTACCCCGCGTCCGCAATTCCCCCACTCTCCCCTACGACTCGATCGTGAATGGATAGGTCGTAGAGCCGACTGAATGACCAAGATCATTTTTTTTTGTTTTTTTTTTGTTTCCTCCCAGGCGGAGGAGCGTGTGAGAAATTTTCATGGATACCCTACAGCCGGCTGCAAGGTTATATATGTTGTATTATGCAGACT